AAAAAAAAAAAAAAAATTCACCCAGAAGCTAAAAAAATTGTTTTGACTAAATAATTTAATATAGCACTGTTTTTCATAAATGTGGAAGTAACTTAAGGAACATATGAAATGTTAAACGATTACAAAATTATATAGCCATAACAATAACAGAATTACATAATGAGTTCAATTATAAAATGAACATATTTTACAAAATAAACATCTAAAGACAGAGACAAGCAGTTACATCAAAAATAAACTAAGCTATAGTTCTGATAAGTCCGGAAGCCTTCCGAAGGATCCTTTAAAAAAAATTGCTTTGGGGGCTGGGAAAGTGGCTCAGTGGTAGAGTGCTTGCCTTACATGCACGAGGCCCTGGATTCGATTCCTCAGTACCACATAAGCAGAAAAAGCTGGAAGTGGCACTGTGGCTCAAGTGGTAGAGCACTATCCTTGAGCTGGGACAGCGACCAGGCCCAGAGTTCAGGCCCCAAAACCGGCAAAAAAAAAAAAAAATTGCTTTGTTGGGAGCCCAGAGAAATGGGTAGTTTCTGCCACAGAACACGATAGAAGTAGATCTTCTAAAAAGATCCCAGCTTCCTCAGGCAGGATTCCAACAAGCCAGGGCTGGGTGCCAGGTGTGTGGCCAGCCACACCTGGACAGCAGGATGGAGAAGCTGCATGGGTAGGCAACCAAAGGGTTTGCCCAAAGCTGAGCCACCTGGAGTCTGGAGTGATACAAGGACTTCCACTTTCCCCAGGGCATAGGCTGACCCCGCTGCTGGGAACTCATTTAAGGAAGAAGAGAAAATTCTTTTAATTCTCTGGTGGATTTATCAGAATCGAAAATACTGAGAGGAAAGATTATCAAAATAATTACTTTGCCAAGACCAGCTATTACGCAAAGTTCAGAGCTAGGCCCTCTGCCTTTTCCTTTCTCATCGCTGGCTTCCCACCCACACACAGCCCACAAGCCCACGTCCAGCTCTGCCCCCTCCACCACCTCTCCAACTCTAATGCACCCCACCAGCACAGAGCCCTGGCAAGGGCACTTCCGGTGTCCAGGAGTGGAGCCGGGGGTGCTCTGGCAAGCTTGCCTCTCTCCCATCCTAGCAGAGAGTTGCACAGCTTGTATTTGCCCATGCTGTAGCAGCCCTCTCTGAAGACTGAGGGTTGGCAGGGCTTGGTTATGTATATCCATCATCTCCCCAGTTCACAAAAGCATTGGAACAAAAAGTGTTTGGATAAGAAATGGTCGCCTACTCATGTTAAAAGTAAACGATCTACAAACAATTCCATCCAAGACACTGATTTTTAAGGCTGGATGAGCTCCATGTACCTATGACGTCACCCAGAGACCAGTGACCCATCCCTCGACCTCCAGCCCAGGCCTCTTACTGCTGAAGAGTCAAGCCACAAGAAGCAGATGCTGACAGTCACGTCTTTGGAATCATCAAACTGTAATTTGACTAAGAAAACAGATGGCTTGGGCAAGGTGCTGAAAGTTCATGCCTGTAATCTTAGGTACTTGTGAGGCTGAGATCTGAGGACTGAGGCTCGAAGCTAGCTCAGACAGATAAATCTGAGATTCTTAACACCAATTAACCAGCAAAATGCTTGAAGTGATGTGGGGTTCAAGTGGCAGAGCTCCAGCTTTGAACAGAAAAGCCAAGTGAGACCTTGAGTTCAAGCCCCAGTGCCGGGATGGTCGCGGGGGGGAAGGGGAGGCTTGGTTTGTGCCTTGACTCATATAAGTAGCTTTGACTTCCAGGATAGAATGCTTCCCACCACTCATTCCTTGAAAACAGAACACCCAAGCACTTAAAAGGAAGCAAATAAGTAAGTCAATAAATAACTCAAATAAGCCAGGCACAGATGGCTCACGCCTGTAATCCTAGCTACTTAGGAGGCTGAGATCTAAGGATTGTGGTTCAAAGACGGCTCAGGCAGAAAAGTCCATGAGTCTCTTATCTCCAATAAACCAGCACAAAACTGGAAGTGTCACTGTGGCTCAAGTTGATAGAGCGCTTGCCTTGAGCGGAAGAGCTGAGGGACAGCGCCCAGGCCCAGAGTTCAAGCCCCATGACCAACCAAAAAAAAAAAAAACAACCTCCAATGGAAAGACTTTAAAACTTCAGGGATGGCGGGGGGGGGGGGGGCGGGGGCTTGGAAGGGATGGGAAGGGGAAACAAAGGAGGAGGCTACAATGCTTGATAAGAAATGTACTCATTATCCTGCCCATGTAATTGTAACTCCTCTGTACAGTTTTTTCACAATAAAAAAATAAAAAATAAATAAAACTTCAGGGATAACTGCAAAGCTCATGACGACAGCCAACCTCTCAAGACACGCCAGTAGAGCGAGGAGGAACCCGGGACGGCTCCCATTCTTTCAGTCCCCGGGTGGAGGGGTTCCCCTCTTCCCTTGGAAGTCACTTTCTTTTTTCCTCTGTGCCAGACTAGAAGCTTGAACTCAAGGTCTGGATGCTGTCCCTGAGCTTTTTCACTCAAGGTTAGCACTCTACCACTCGAGCCACAAGCCACAGTTCTTCATCCAGACTTTTGCTGGTTAATTGAAGGAAAGAATCCCATGGACTTTCCCTACCTAGGCTGGCTTTGAACTCTGACCCTCAGATCTCAGCCTACTGAGTAGCTAGGATAACAGGTGTGAGCCACCAGCACCTGCTTTCTCTCTCTGAATAATATAAAGCCAGGTACCTTTGTTGCTCAGCAGGAAGTTCACTAAATAAACCACGCAAACCCACCTCAACACTTGGCTGCACCCCATGAAAACCCTTCCACTGTCCCGACGGGGCATGCGGGAGGGGACAGACATCAGGAACCAGCTTTTTCCCAGGCCAACTCTGCCTTGAGGCCTGAGAACAGTAACACCCCATTTGTAAATGGACAAGAGCAAAATGAAAAAGAGGTTTAAAAAGCAAGTAAGCTTCTTTTAATGTATTAAGGTGTTATCCATGAGGGAGGATTAAATTCTTCCAACCACAGCAGAGCAGGTGAAGGCCTCGCTGCTGGACAGGGTCCTCTCCCCGAGGGGCAGAAGGCAGCAGCCCCTGGGCCAGTTGAGCAACTCTCTGGCCAGCCTTGCCAAGGGCCACTGTCCACCTTAATAACTATGAATGCCATGATCCCACCCACGACCTGAGGCTTCCCCAGCCCAGTTCTGCCTGGGAAACGTTCCTGCATTCCAGAGAGCTTTGCGAGAGCCTGGGTTATAAGGAGCTGTTGAAGGGCAGTTTTTAAGTATCACCATCTGAAATGCCCAATGCCAACGCTGGCTCTTTGTGCCTGGAGCCAGCAGGGCTCCGCAGAGCTGAGACCAGGAACAAGCGCCCTGCTAAACAACCCGCCTAAAGGAAGCAAGAATCCTACATGACTGACACCATTTATTTCTAAATCAAATTCTTAGATCTCAGCCTCCTGAGTAGCTAGGATCACCGGCGTGAGCCACTGCCTTCAATTGAAGCCCAGCCTTCAATTTTTTGATACAGTGGCCTCTGCTCATTCTCTTAGAACACCCTAGAGATCTGGAAATGATTTAATTAGTTTTGTTTCTAAAGGAACTAGGAACACGGCTGGGAAAACACAGCTTAAAGAGTTAAATTATGGAATATTTTTCTTTAAATCACATTATATAAGGAAAGAATCCCCACCTGACCCCATGGAAATAAATCTCAAACTAACCATTGTGGTTCCTAATCAGACATCTTTCCCTACCCTGCAATCTATGCTTACCTCAGTAAATATTCTTAGACAATATGAACAGAACACGAATCCTCACGTTAAAAAAAGCAAAATCCATTAGAGCTAAATACTATCAGAACATCTACAACACGAGCCTCATTTGACAGCCAAGTCATAACAGGTAGCTGAAGATGTATTTCCTCAGGAGGCTGGTCAGCCTGTCCCAGAGGACTGACCTGACCCACCAACCAGCAGGTGGTAGCTTTTTAGGAGGCATAACTCCTGGGGAGGAGGGGGAGAGGGGAGGCAGCAGCTACACGGGACCTCAGGAGGCGTGACTCCCGTGTGGAGCCTCCACTCTCTGCCCTTGGAATGATGCCAGTTCAAAACTATCTCACCCACTATTAGCATGAGCTATTAGCTTAAATATCAGGTTGATGGAGCACCTGGTATTGAATTCATTTAAAGCAAAAAAAAAAAATGTCCTAAGCTTCCTGTGGTAACTAGAGAGACAAAAATGCCCAACTGTGAATTACTCTGTCCCTTACAAGCCAGTGAGGAGCGGGGACAGGGGAACCCCGGCCCTCAGGGTAGATTTCAGGGTACAAAGGGAAGCACAGTTCCTACAGTTAGAAGCAAATGCACACAACCCATGGCACACACCCAGCACAGCCTGTGGATTTCCCCCGGCCTACATCACGGACTAAGAATCTCAGGGGGATTCCGTGCGACTGTCCACGGCCTCCGTGTTGCTAGGGTTTCACATAAACAGAGGATGGCGAGAGCTTTTCAGCTTTCTGTGCTGTCTTTTCTTCCTCCTGTTTCTTCTATGGCAGATGGGGCAGCTGGAGCTTCAGTGAAAGGATGACAGCAAAAATGGACAAAAGCAAATCAGTGGCGTTGCTCATTGTGCTCTGTGGTGGGAGCTCCCTACTTGGTAGCTGATGCTTCATCATGACATCTTCCACCTCAGTCTCTCCTCTGGACAACGGCTACAGCTCCTCTTCTGGCAGGGGAGCATGTGGAGAGCGTGAATGAAGAGAGACACGGGTCCTCACCCAGGCCTGCTCCCGCTCTGGGCCAGCATGAGCAGTGATGCTGTGGTGGTCCGCACAGGCCTGTCCGGATGTGTGTGTCCCCGTCCTCTGCCCAGGACAGACACGGAGCCTACAGCCCGGGGAAGAAGCAGGGCCCGCCAGCTCAGACCCCATCATCGCCTCCCTGGCTGACTCACTTTCCACACACCGGGTAGGCTTACTTAAAACTTTCAAGCTGGGCCGGGCGCTGGTGGCTCACGCCTGTAATCCTAGCTACTCAGGAGGCTGAGATCTGAGGATCGAGGTTCAAAGCCAGCCTGGGCAAGAGAGACCATGAGACTCCTATCTCCAATAAACCACCAGAAAACCGGAAG